CACACACACACACACACACACACACACAGAGAGAGAGAGAGAGAGAGAGAGAGAGAGAGAGAGAGAGAGAGAGAGAGAGAGAGAGAGAGAGGGTGGTTGGGATGCGTGTGGTCTGGTCTGGTGGGGTCTGTCTTGTAAAGGCGAATCTTGGTTTGGCTTAGGTATGTCAGAATGTGATTTTGGAGGGGCTCTGAGCTTTTGGGTTGAGACTGGGTCGTTGAGGCTTGGTGATGGAACTGGGCCCTCAAACGGCTGATGTATGTTTTCCTTTCGGTTTTTGTGCAGAGTATATGGTCCATTGCTACAACAGAAATGGACTCTGCGGTTTGGCGTTTGTGGACCGAGCATACCCTCTCCGTAGTGCCTTTTCAGTCATAAATAAGGTTGGTTGGCCCCCTACTTGTTGACTGTATGTACCCGGTTAACCTTTGGAAAGCTGTTTTGGAGAAAGACAACGTACTAAGGTGACTTCGAGAACCAGTTTCTCGCGTGGATTATCAGCGATACCTTTAACTTTTCTTTTTGTCTGTTTTCAAATACCTTTGACATTGAGGCCGCTGTCTGCACTGACCTACTGGTCCCCGTTCTTGTTCGGCAGGTCGAACATGGCGTGCGTTACAGCAGGATATCTGCTCAGATGACTCACTTTCCAGAAAAGCTCTGGCCATACCACGCCGACCCACAAACTAAACCTCTACCTGAACCTGAACGTTCACGTGAAGGTAAACAGGGCAGTATTTTGGTACTCAGCGGCAGGTCGGTGGTTTTGAAGGAACGTGTGAAGAAGTCGTTGGAAATGTGAAGCATCCGGCCGAATAAAGTGGAAAGGTAGACACATGAGAGCAGTCGTTTTCCTAGTAACCATTCGGCTAAGTGCAGATTGAAGAATGTGGATCAGATGCGATGGGCTAGTTGAATCTTGGGTCTACTATAGTCCACATTCATGGTAGTCTAGCACAATTATAGTGCATAGAATTCTCTTCTTTCATAGTCTTTGCGTGCTCGATACTCTGAGCTATTCGTAGCTACCTCGTGGTTGTTCCCACAGCTCCTTACACCTTTTTCGGCCCAAGTGATTTTTACATATGTGGGTGTCAGAGGCAATGCCTGCTGCAGGGCGCTGTTCTTGTGGTTGTTGATGTACTTGTGCTGGAACCTGAGGTTACACTGTGGCGGCATTTTGTTGGAGGTGCTATGAGTTCGGCAAACAGGAGGGTGGTGCATCCACAGGTTTTGTAGCAGTTGTTTTTGCCAGCCACTGGCTCGATTCCCACAAGAGAAAGGCCTGAGTCGACCTCCGTTTCGCTCCCTGGGACTCTCTGTGGCTCCAGGAAATGCTGAGCTGCCCACCGTTGGCCACTTCGACGCGGTGGTTATGGAAATGGATGACACTGTGGAGGACTGTAGTTGTGAACCTCTGTATTCGTTGAGAATAAGTGCCGGTAGAAGCCAGTTTGTCCTGTGTTTCTAACAACAACAGTGCGTCAGATGGAAGCAGACAGGCTCACTTTTGTTAATCGTGTGCTGCTCAAAGTGCGTTGGGTGAAGTGCTATTCTTGGGTGATACAGTTTTGGTACTTGTCATAGTGTTGGAGCGTTTACATGCATGTGCTAGTCCTAGCTGATACAGCTTTGGCACTTGCCAGAGTGTGGAGCATTTTGATGCATTTTGTCAGGTCTAATCAGATGGCGAACTGAGCAGAGTAACCTGTGTTTGACTGACAGGGTTCAATCACTGCAGCTTAAGTCGACGGAACGATTCCCAGCAGAAAAGCTGCAACTGGTAAAGTTCACGAAGTGACTAGTCTGACACAACGCTGATCAGTGATCTGGACTGGAAAAGGACATACACGAAGCCTGTGCTCATGTCAGGGCAATTGTTTGAGGCTGCAGTTGTGATGACAGTCGGTGATGCTTAGTCCTGTACTCGTGCGGTTTTGCTGCTACAGTCTCCAGTTGTCGTGGAAATGAAGGAAGCAGATCAAGCGTAAAAAACATATTGACCTTGTTTTGGGGATATAAAGACGGAATCCGCACTGTCAATAAGGGAGCGGTAAATGGACTTGCGGCGCCTTTGACTTGCAATACCTTTTCTGTCAGCTGGTGTGGCACATGCGAACAGTCTACCTGTGTTCCTGGCTGTTTATTTGCGGGTAGAGGTTGAAGACATGATGACTGTAAGTGGCAGCATTTATTACTCTTGAGGGATTGGCAGTGCTGACTGCACCTCTGATCCACTGCTGCTAATCCTAGTGCTGATACAGTGTTGTTGTGTGAGTGTAGGTACTGGATGAGTACCTGCAAAGGCATGGGGATGCATGGACGTCAGCAACTGCAGACAACAAGGATCCCGCACCAGGATGGTTGGAAGAAGCCCTGCGCAAATACCAGGTGCGTGTGCGGAGGGGGGAGGATGGGGAGGGGTGGGGAATGTGTGAAGACAGGCAGGGTGTGAACGGGTATTGTGATAAACTACCAGCTGCGTTCCCATCTATTTTGCTGCGATGAGATGGTTAACCTGCTGCATTAACAGTGACTGCGCTTACCTGACCAGAATGGCTGGTGGCACCTGGCAAAAAGGAAAAACATGCACCGGGCCGACTCGTCTGTTTTTCATTGGTAGCAGCAATCCAGGTTGGTGAGGAGAGGCTCGGGAGGGACTTTTGGTGTAATAATTCCGGCATGGAACAAAAGCACATTCTGTAGGTAAGCCTGAGAGAAAGTGAGGGAATAGGATTCTCGAGTGTTTATGACTTTAACGGGTTGTTCTAGAGCGTGCCTGTCTGTTTTGGGTTCTTGATTGCGTTTTGTTGCCCTGATCCTCTCCCCCTTTTCCAGTTTTCATCTCCTCAGCACATGATGAAAAACATTTGCAGTACTGCACTGCACTCCTCCTTCCTGCCATGCCATCGGTTTAGTGAAACGGTTTTCACCTTTAGCAGTAGCGGATGCAGTACCCAGGGTTCGATCCCTAGCCCTCACCTTACCCATGTACAGTATCTGTGTAGGCCCCGGGAATTGAACCTGTGACCTGTGTATTCGTAGGCAGTTGGTAGGCCTGTCGTAGGTCCATAGGCAGCAGGGGTTCGATCTGTAGGTCTATAGCGTAGGAGTCTTAGTGAGTTCCGGAAGCTTAGCTGTAGACCTTCTAGAAGGTAGGCAAGTGGGCAAGTGGTCAAGTGGTGAGGCAAGTGGTGGACTAAACCGCAGTGCAACCGCAGTACAATGTCGGTAGGATAGCCGTGAGTCCACAGTCAGTAAGCGGAAGGTCCAGTCAGTCCCAGTCCGGTCCAGCAAGTACCATAGGGGAACTGTGAGCACCAAGGGCCGATGGCAAAGGGCAGACCAACGAGTTTCTGAAGTATAAATCAAGAGGCAGCGCCCAGCCATTCATTCATTCCTGCGTGAGCCATGCGGAAGCGCTGCCACAGTGACTTGTGCAAGGAGGTCTGCAGATGAGCCCGGAGGACGCAGTGGGCAAGAGAGAGGGAATTAGTCTAGCGATAGGTTAGAAGCAGCGATAGGTTAGATGCAGCGATAGCTGCCATAGCTGTAGTCAGTAGTGAGTGTGTGTGTGTGTTCGAGTGTTAGAGTGATGCGTGTGGGATACCCAGGGTGATCCAGTGTATGTGAACAGTGAGATGTTTGGGCGCTGAAGTCGCCATAGCCAATTAAGAGTGAACTCGTGCCTGAAAGCCATTTCTCTGAGTTTTGAGTGGGCGCATGTCGCCAGTATGCTGCGTTGCTGTTTACATGCATGAAAAGTGTGTTTGAGAACGGGTCTGATTGCATAGGTATCGGAGCTGGTACCCGCTATTCCATGCGCGCCGTCGTATGCAGGGCCTGATGCGCCATAGCCGAGGTGGCAGCCGAGGGAGATAGTCCGCCATAGCGGACCTGAGGTTGAAGAAGCCGCCGCGCACCTGCAAGAAAGACACGACGAAGAAGAAGAC